TCCCCCCTCTCTCTCTCTCTCTCTCCCTCTCTCTCTCTCTCTCTCTATCTCTCTCCCTCCCTCTCTGTCTTCTGTGCACGACTGCAAAGCGCTAACCACTACACACAGAAGCCTTATGTCTTTCCACCGTCTTCTAGTACACACGACACAGTGAGTGACAGTAGGATTGTTTCACTACCCACACAGCAGGTGAAAAAACCCTCAGTTGCAGAAGTTTAACTACCAGAAATGTGTGATCGACTCTCCAATAATTGTTGAACAAATAAAGAAATTGCTATATTCCCCCCACAGAATTCTACACTAAGTGTAGAATTCTGTGATTCCCCCACACAGCAGGTGAAAAAACCCTCAGTTGCAGAAGTTTAACTACCAGAAGTGTGTGATCGACTCTCCAATAATTGTTGAACAAATAAAGAAATTGCTATATTCCCCCCACAGAATTCTACACTAAGTGTAGAATTCTGTGATTCCCCCACACAGCAGGTGAAAAAACCCTCAGTTGCAGAAGTTTAACTACCAGAAATGTGTGATCGACTCTCCAATAATTGTTGAACAAATAAAGAAATTGCTATATTCCCCCACACAGCAGGTGAAAAAATCCTCAGTTGCAGAAGTTTAACCACCAAAAGTGTGTGACCAACTCTCCAAAAAGTGTTGAACGAATAAGTAAATTGCCATAATATTCCCCCACACAACAGGTCAGAAACGCCTCAGTTGCAGATGTTTAACCACCAGAAGTGTGTGAGGCTTCAAGCATTGGACGAATAAATCTATTGTTCTATTCCCCACACAGCAGGTCAGAAATATCCTCAGTTGCAGAAGTTTAACCACCAGATGTGTGTGATCGACTCTCCAATAAGTGTTGTACGAATAATTCTATTGTTCTATTCTGCACACAGCAGGTCAGAAACTCCTCAGTTGCAGATGTTTAACAACCAGAAGTGTGTGAGGCTCCAAGTGTTGGACCAGGCACTGACAACTTCTTACATCCCAGCGGATTTCCTCTCTGTCTACCACGGTTTGTGAAATGGGAGCCGATCTTTTTAAAAACATTTTATATTTTTAAAAAAGTTAAAGATACATTTTTTTGCAAGGTTTTTTTTTTTGGGGGGGGGGATAGTGAGATTGGTGAACTGGCAGAGATAGATAGATAAATAGATAAATCGATAGATCGATAGCAATAAATAGAAAAGGAGAGAGAAATTCCCACAGTCAACACAGAGAGACAGAGAGAGACAGAGAGAGAGAGA